ACATTGCCAGCAGTAGCTTGAGCCTCACTGATTGCATTGGCGGTACTACCACCATCGGGTACAGACTTTTCCATTGATGTCAAGCCAGGAACTCCACTCATTACCGAGCCAACCACTTCCAATTGCATAGAGACATAATTACAGGAGATGATTGCTAGTAGCACTAAGCACGAATACATGTTTTTAACCATTTTGAAAGTTTTTTCAAATTTAACTGTTTTCTTCTCGAATGTTGAGATGATATAATTTTTTCTCAAAAAGTTCTTCTTTTTATACTTCATCTCAAGTCAACTGTATAAACTGAATCACGGAACTGGAAACTGATATAAAAATGGAATAAGTCTGTGTTTGAATCATTTGTTAATACAGAAGTCATTTGTTTGCATTTACATTCATTTTTAGATGTGATTAGCAACAAATTAGCAATTCAATAACAACTTCAGACTAGACAGTAGACGAAATGTTTTAAAAATATTTATGCATTTGTTGCATCTGAAATAATTGATTCCTTTCAATCAGCTTTACTTTTTCAAAATAATTTAAAATGTCATCAACATCAAATAATAGAAACTATAATACGTTTCAACTGTATTATTGGTAGCAATAGAGACAAATTTTGCTAAATTTTGATGGAGATATGGAATTATGGAGATCAAAATGATTAATAAAGCGCTTTAGAGATATACTAGGGGTTTCAAAAGTCCGTAGACAAACATGGTTATTCGAACTCTATTTTTTCATTTTATGTATAGGTATACCTTAGGTCAGTACAGTTTCGCAGCCAAAAAGTTATGACGTCAAGACAACTCTCATGCCGAAATTCGGCGTTAATTGCGAAAAAAACCTCTTTTGACGGCACTTATCGCTTTTGGTGACCTGAACTTTTGACCTTAAACAATTGCAAAACGAAATGGAGTTACTAGAAGACATATTTGAGAAATAAGTGTGAGATTGCCTGAATTTCAATCTCTTTTTTTCGTGAAGCCATTTTTCGTTCAGACTTGCGGCAACGAGTGTTGAATCGAAGGTAAAGCATATGAGAAACACTTTTTAGTGTCATTTTTCAAGCCCTAACCATTTTTTCTAGATGTTGTGTTTGGTATCAATCGAAGGATAAATGGTTGAAAATACAATCTAGATAGAAATTTACCGGTCCAAATCCCATAAAACCCCGGTCAAAAGTGATACAGCTTACAGCAGAAGGGAGGATGGGATAGTCCACGAAGCTGCAGTGACTGCAGCACTAACCATTCCTGAGTTATACCTGCATGGAGGCGTTGAAGGAAAAGAACGCTTGGTATTTCATGAAATTGATAAAGAAATTAATGAGTTTGTTGATAAATGTAATGTAAAAGGTTGAAGATTAATTCAACAAAAAGCCCAACAACTCGCAGTCAACAAAGGTTTACATGTAGTTGGATTTAAAGCAGTGATTCTTGGTTTAGATTGATGAAAAAAGATGTAAATTAGATTTACTGCAAACAGTGTAGTCTGAGCTTTTGATATGCAATTTCAAATATTTTTAATTTGATGTGTTGATTTCATCGCGAGAAGTTCTTAATTACAAAGAGCACAGGCAAAAAGTCGAGCATTCGAGTTAAGTTTTGAGTCCGGGTAGGTTTGTAGAAGAATAAAAATTTAGTACATTAGAGTTTTAAATAAATTCTCCGATTGATAGAATCGAGGCCAAAGTTGAAACTTCGATCGCCTTTGTTCAATTATGTAGTACTCAAAATAAGTGTATTTTCTGGCTGACCATCAAAAGTTACACCATTTACTTTTACATTACTTTTATAATTGAACAAAGGCGATCGAAGTTTCAACTTTGAACTCAATTTTCTCAAAACTGTCGATCAGAGAAATTTTTAAATCGCACAAATAGACTCAGGTTTTATTTCCCAACAAACTAACAGAGTCTAAATTGAGAAGAAATCAATTTTCAACCGTTTCTGCCCATTTGTGTCAATTTGTGCATAAAGTGACAATTGTTTTGGCGCCCTCTATTGATAAATTGATAGTATCCCCAAATTTTAAGACTGGGCCAGTCTTCACCAAAAACAATACAGTAAATTTTGATCTCTATAGAAAGCTATTCTGAAGATAGCTTCAAAATCGTGATTATTATTTTTGAGTTATCGTCGAACAAAAATTCGTAAGTTCACCCCATGTCTTCGCTTCGCTCAGACAAATTAAATCTATACAATATATTAATATAAAGTCGAAACATAAAATTGCGTAAAGATTGTAGCCAAACTAAGAGAATTCTAAAGAAAATTTTTTCAATGCCTGAAAGTCATGATTAAACTACATCCACTAAAAATAGTCTGAACTTCATCGAAATTCAGGTACCTGAGAAATTAGCGTTCAAACAGGGTATGGGAAAAAATGCAGAATCCGTATCTTTTTTCATCAAATTTTCTAGCGACGCGTCACAAAATTTTTAACCTCAGATTCTCGATACTTGCGAACCTAACCTAAGTACCTGATCTCATCTCTATGGACCCCAATCTATCTTAATTTTTAGAAAATTCATTCAAAGAAGACTAGGTCTATTCAGGAACGGAGGTCAAAATCAATTTTGTCGATTTTTTCGCTATAAATTTTCGGACGCTCACAAAAACGACATCAATTATTCGATTTGGAAAATTGAAACGATATTTTAATACTACGAGTCCATAATTTGATTTAATGAAATTTCAGTCAATTCAAGGCTAAACTTCATACCCAACCGCAAAACTTATTTGACACCCTAATATAAAGTCGAAACATAAAATTGCGTAAAGATTGTAGCCAAACTAAGAGAATTCTAAAGAAAATTTTTTCAATGCCTGAAAGTCATGATTAAACTACATCCACTAAAAATAGTCTGAACTTCATCGAAATTCAGGTACCTGAGAAATTAGCGTTCAAACAGGGTATGGGAAAAAATGCAGAATCCGTATCTTTTACCATTGATTTTGGGGGAAAAATTTTCTGTTGTTCAGGTTGATGGTTTATTGTTAAACTAGGTCAGACGATCGCACGGTGTATTCAGAGCGTTAGTAACAAATTAAAGCAGGCGTATGTTTATCTAGATCCAATAAGCCAATTGGCACAAATAAAAAATTCGAAAAAAATCTACAAATACATGTATCTGACAAGAGAAGGTTCCCTAAACGCTACAATTAGAATTGAATGATTTTTAGACTAATCGATAGAGCATGTTGACTTATGAAAAATTGTCATTTACTTCGTTTCGCAAATGCCCCGTTTAAAAGTTACAGGGTGTCAAAGTTGTTTTTCCATAGGTTTATGTGCTTAATGCAAGTAATGTAGATCTATGGTGAAATGGTAAAATCTGGTTTTTAATATTTCTTAATGGATGTACATTGCATTCAATAGGCTTAACCTATGCAAAAATTGATACTTTTGCTCCCTGTAGCTTTTGAACGGGGCATTTGCGAAACGAAAGGCTTGACACAGGTTCATATCTGACCCATTAGAACATTTTGCGGTTAAAAAAAATTGAAAACTGGTGTAGCGTTTGGGAACCTTCCCTTGTGAGTTATACTCCTTAACCATCAAGTATCGAACATGATTTTTTGTACTACTTTATCTCAACTTTGTATGATTAAGACACTTGGCCTTTTGCCTCGTTTATTAATCACACATACTTTCGATGCAGTGATATGACATCTACATATACTGTCAATGAATCAAATTTGTTCTTCTTGAATAGGTACTTAGCCAATGCAGCGTGATCCAATCCATCGTGAAAAACACTGATACAATGATGAATCTATTTTTGAGTGATTATAATGAATTGTGAATTTTCAAACCACCCTTATTGACCTCTAAAATTCAAAGAAAAATCCACAAAAATGAACTTTAATGGCCGTGATGCAAATTTCAACTCTTCAAAATTCTCATAATCAGGCACGTTTCAAATAACTAAAGATAAGATATACAGGTTGTATACTTGTTATACACGTATAGATATGAACTTATGGTGTCTAAAGTTCGGAGGCCATTCGTTTATGCGATATAATTATTATAAAAAAATTGCGTGTATGGTGCGCAGACTGCTTTCCCTGTTTTCGATCCAATTTCTGTGAATATTAGTGCTACGATGGTCAAGTTGTAAGAGAGTTATCAAATTACATGGTGAATTCTCAAAATATCTTTAGATGACCTCTAATGTCCGGCTTCAATCATGACATCTTAGGTTCAAACCCGTTACGATGAATTAATTAAAGCTTTAAGCTATAAAGGTCCAGGAAAGTAAAGCCAACATCAGTACGATCAATACGAAGGAGAAAAAGCATAAATTAAATTAGCGAAATACCATGTTAAGAAAATGAGTACCTAAATACCGTTAGATCGAAGTAGATAGAAGGTTGATAGATTCTGGTGGAAAGGTGATACATATAAATCATGTGATAGTTTAAAAGAATAAAATCCGCAAATCCCACAAAACTCATGAAAAAATTTAAAGCTGATGGCTCAAACAATTGCATGTACAAACAAGAAGTGACTTTTAACTGTACTGATGACTAAAACAAGAACTGTAATTGGAATGAATAGAGAGTTGAACTTTTCTGTCGTTTCAGCAGCAAAGCAATGTGTCTATTCGGTGTTCAACTCGCATGAAACAGGTATGAATACAAAGATAGGCTTCAATGCAGAAACGAAGGAATGCAAAATAACACAAGAAACCAAATAATGCCGAATTAATAAATCGAAATAAAATATGATTGGAAATGATTGTTGTTGTCATTTTCTTGGGTTGCTTGTTGCTGCAAAGAGTCTATCCTACATCATATGAGCCAACTTTGCCTGGACAAGGTTTTTGCTTGTTTCTTTGCGTTAAATAATAGCAAAGTTGTTCTTACTTGTGATTCACTCAAAATTCATTCATTCGTTACATGTGATATTTTAACACGCATAATAAGATGAAGAGGCGTTAGTAAAAAATATTATGAACCTGAAATATTATGATTCCTACAATTTAATGACCGATATCAATATAGACTGAATTTTGTTTATTTTAACTTATTTATTTCATTGTTATTTAGCAATAGACTATGATGAAAATGCGAATTCATAACATGTTGACCTTCATTCCAACCATAGGCATATCAACTTTAATCATTGGTTTTTTAGTTGAATGAGAACCAGATCCACTGTTTCCTTTGCCATTAGGTTTTCCTTTTGATGCCGCACTTGCTGCTGCGGCAGCTGCTGCACTGCTTGCAGATGATCCACCTTTAGGTCCCTTTCCTTTACCATTTTTACCCTTACCTTTGCCTGCTCCACTGGCAGAACTTGAAGAACTTGAAGAACTTGCACTAGATGCAGTGCCAGGTGAACTACCTCCTGAATTGCCGTTGCCTTTACCTGAACCAGAGCCTGAACCAGCACCAGATCCTGAACCAGCACCAGAGCCTGAACCAGAGCCTGAACCTGAACCTGAACCAGCACCAGAGCCTGAACCAGAGCCTGAACCTGAACCTGAACCAGCACCAGAGCCTGAACCAGCACCAGAGCCTGAACCAGAGCCTGAACCAGCACCAGAGCCTGAACCAGCACCAGATCCTGAACCAGCACCAGAGCCTGAACCAGAGCCTGAACCTGAACCTGAACCAGCACCAGAGCCTGAACCAGAGCCTGAACCTGAACCTGAACCAGCACCAGAGCCTGAACCAGAGCCTGAACCTGAACCTGAACCAGCACCAGAGCCTGAACCAGCACCAGAGCCTGAACCAGAGCCTGAACCAGCACCAGAGCCTGAACCAGCTCCAGATCCTGAACCAGAGCCTGCACCAGATCCTGAGCTTGAGGCAGCACCAGAGCCTGAGCTTGAGCTTGAAACTGAACTTGATCCTCCACTATTTCCTGTACCGGAACTACCACCAGTCTTTGCTGCTGAGTTGGAGTTTGATTCTGTGTTTGTGTTTGAGACAGAGTTAGTATTTGAGGTTGATTCATTATTGGTGTTTGAAACGTTTGAAACATTATTGTTGCTTGATTTACTGTTTGAGCTTGAGACAGCGTTAGCGTTTGAAACAGCATTGGAGTTTGATCTATTGTCGTTGTTTGACTCGTTATTGGTATTTGATTCAGCATTTGAGCTTGAGACAGCGTTAGCGTTTGAAACACTATTGTTGTTTGATTGGCTGTTGTTGCTTGATCCAGTGTTCGTGTTTGAAACATCATTGGAAGTTGCTTCATTATTGTTGCTTGATTTACTGTTTGAGCTTGAGACAGCGTTAGCGTTTGAAACAGCATTGGAGTTTGATCTATTGTCGTTGTTTGACTCGTTATTGGTATTTGATTCAGTATTTGAGCTTGAGACAGCTTCAGTGTTTGAAACACTATTGTTGTTTGATTGGCTGTTGTTGCTTGATCCAGTGTTCGTGTTTGAAACATCATTGGAAGTTGCTTCATTATTGGTGCTTGAGACAGCCTTAGCGTTTGAAACATTATTTGAGCTGTTATTAGTATCAGTGCTTGAAGTAGCCACTGAGCTTGAGTCTGAGCTTGAGTCATTGTTTGTGTTTGTGACAGCTCCCGAGTTGTTATCAGCATTACTCTCAGCAACTGAACTTGCACCAGTCTCAACTCCTGATCCTGATCCTCCATTAGATCCACCATTTTCTTGGCTCACACCAGAACCTGATTTACTTTTTGCAGATGCCATTGCGTTTGCAATTGAGCCAACAATACTATTCACAGAGTCTGTAGTTGGTACTGATGGCATTGAAGCTGGTGCTCCTGGCATAGGGGCAGGTACACCAGGCATCAAACCACCATCATCATTGTTGTCACTTGGAGAATCATCGGTATCATCTGGAGAACCATCGAATGGATTTGGCATGTTTAGTTCAACATCCAGTAAGTCACCAGCGTCAGGTGAATCTTCCAAACTTCCCATACCTCCATCAACATTGCCAGCAGTAGCTTGAGCCTCACTGATTGCATTGGCGGTACTACCACCATCGGGTACAGACTTTTCCATTGATGTCAAGCCAGGAACTCCACTCATTACCGAGCCAACCACTTCCAATTGCATAGAGACATAATTACAGGAGATGATTGCTAGTAGCACTAAGCACGAATACATGTTTTTAACCATTTTGAAAGTTTTTTCAAATTTAACTGTTTTCTTCTCGAATGTTGAGATGATATAATTTTTTCTCAAAAAGTTCTTCTTTTTATACTTCATCTCAAGTCAACTGTATAAACTGAATCACGGAACTGGAAACTGATATAAAAATGGAATAAGTCTGTGTTTGAATCATTTGTTAATACAGAAGTCATTTGTTTGCATTTACATTCATTTTTAGATGTGATTAGCAACAAATTAGCAATTCAATAACAACTTCAGACTAGACAGTAGACGAAATGTTTTAAAAATATTTATGCATTTGTTGCATCTGAAATAATTGATTCCTTTCAATCAGCTTTACTTTTTCAAAATAATTTAAAATGTCATCAACATCAAATAATAGAAACTATAATACGTTTCAACTGTATTATTGGTAGCAATAGAGACAAATTTTGCTAAATTTTGATGGAGATATGGAATTATGGAGATCAAAATGATTAATAAAGCGCTTTAGAGATATCGGAAAATTTCTGCTATCGATAGTTGTCGAAAAAGATGAGGTCAAAGTTAAAATTCAATCAATATTTATTTAATGGACGTAGAATTTTCATGAAACTAATTAAACTTAATTTTTTACCATTCATTCTTTCATCTGGTAATCGTCATAAAAACTTTCTGGCAAGGTAAGAAGCCTAATATTTAATTCAGAAAGATTAAAATGGAATTCTTATGGTCTGCCAGAAAACCACTTGTCGTCTATGAAGCAAATTGATCTGAAAAAAGTTACAGGGTGACAAATATTGGAATTAAATCAAAATCAAAATGGTCGATAAAAGCGCATTATATTTTAATTAAATCTGTCAGTACCAACGAGATTACTTGCCTTGTCAGTTCAATAGATCCATTGAACATTTATTAAAAAACTCATTTATTAATAAAAAAAATTTTAAATTGACAAAACTTCAAAACAGAATGTAAATTTGGTTTACAACAGAACAAAAATACAGTCCAAGTTCGAACGCCAGTTCGTTTCAATTATCGATGGAAACTGTGCCTTTCACGTAACCTGTTCAGATAAATCAGGGAACTTTTTGAATGTACTTTTATGATTTTGCGTCACACAGGCTATATCGCAATTTGCATTATCGAAAAGTATCAAGACTCGCTTCAACGATGATACTGCAGAAAGTATCGTGAGTAAATTTCTAATATTTTCATAACTAACTGAGAGTCCAGTGATAGGTTAAAGGAAGTAAAAATTGAAGTTTAACTCATGTTATGTCATTTACAGGCACTTTGAAAACACTTGCTTCTCAGAATGCAAATTAAAATTTGAAAACAATTCTTATTGGTATTTATAATAATATATCATCAGTATTTGTCACTTTCCTTTCCTGCTAAAATGATGGCGTAAACTTAAATTTTGATTGACGAGTTTGAGCTGGAAAACGATGGCTTAATGTCTTAAATAAAAATACCGATAATGATTCAATCAATCACAATGTTCAAGAAATACATGAATAGATTCAATTACAATAATTATCAATCAATTCGACACAATTTAGTCCCAACAAATTTTGTCCTGAATTTTGTTTTGTGAATTTTAAATTGATTGATTTTTCGACAGCAATAACAATTTTAACAAAAGAGTTGCAACGAGACTAAAGTCTTTGTATTCATATTTCATTGAATTCACAAAATGGACAATTGTTGTTCATTGATCTTATCTACCAGTAGTTTACACGAGATATTTGTTTCAATCCAACAACAAATATGGGCGTTTAAGTTTCTGATTTTTTCAAAGTGCACAAAACATTCTAACGGGTCATATGCATGTATTAATCCTTGTCGAACCTTTCGGTTCGTAAATTGTCGGTTTAAAAGTTACAGGGTGTCAAAGTATCTGTGAGGCTAACTAGAGCTATTAATAGATAATTTGAGATGATACAGTTAGACAAAAAAGAAAAAAATTTTAGCTCAGGAAAGCTGGTCAGAGTTAAATTAGTTTAGCAAAATAATTTAATTTCAATATTCAAATATTTTGATGGGAATACAGAGTTTACAGATTTGGTAATAAAGGCAAAGGAAAGTATGGCTGGATGTACTAAGGCTATCGAGGCTCATTGTATCGATAGAATCATTTATTTTCAATTCAACAAGTTACATTGATTGTGCCCTACAAAAGCTTAAAGTGATGTGTACATTCATAGATGCATTAAAGAGGAACAAGACTTGTAGCATCATTTGATTAAAGTGGTTTCTGCTAATGCAAGAGTCAAAGAGATTGTGGCCAATGTAGTAAAGCAAGTTGGTGTGATAACAAACAGGTCCAGGAAAGTAAAGCCAACATCACCGCGTTCAATCCGAAGAAGAAAATGTTGAACCTGCAGGACAAAAACAAAACGAAATCGATAATCAAAAACTAGGATGATATACTTGCGATTGACAATGTTCCGAAGCCAAAAGTTTCTAACTTCAAAGGTTTTGCTTTTATTAGTGTTCAAAAATTATTTTGGACAAAAAAGTCTAAGAGTAGCAACGGAGGGTTAATAATCTAACATGTAAGATTAGACTTTTAGATACAATAATGAGTTACCTCTTTTTTAGCAAACAATGAATCTGCTTTAAATGTAAGGGAATAAGCTGATTGATAGATTCTGGTTGCAAGATGATTGATGTAAACCATGTTATAAGCTACAAGAATAAAGGCTGAAAATTGTCCAACATAGACGCTAATAATAAACAGTGATGACTCGAATGCGAAATACTAGAACAATATAGCTAGCTATCGATGGATCGTAATAAACTTCTACAAGATGAATGTGAACTGAAATGACAACAAATGAATAGAAATCGGAAATCGGTAGTCTTAGGAATGAATCCATTCTTTCTGTCGCTTCAGAAGCAATGCTGTTCATCCAACGAGTTCCACGAATTTTATTGCTACACTCGACAGTCAATGTTTCTAAGTGAACGAATTTGCGCATTTACAGTAAGCCAGCAGCCATGAATGTAAAGACTTGATTCAACAAGAAATTGGTTGAATAATTGATAGCCGAAGAGGCAAAATAAAAACATGAAATTAAAGAGGCAGCTTATGAATAATTGGACAAAATCACTCGATTGCTGAAAGATTACAATCAAACTGCGAAAAATGAAATATATTGTTATGACATCATTAATGACGATAAAAAATAGAAAAAATATTTCGCATTTCGGTGAAATGGCGATAAACTAGCAAATTTTCAAGGCTGAGTCCAGTTTGACTTTCAAATAGATTGATCAATTCAATGTATTCACATCGCTTGGAGCGTAATAGTACAAGCCAGAGTAGGTATAAAGTAGAGGTTATACAAGTGAGTATTTTATACTTTTTGACTGTGGTGCTTGTTTTGTATTCCGATAAAAGTAGCACAATGTTATAAATAACGATGCAAATGAGTGCAAAATGAGTGAAATTGCTTTTTTTCCCTTCAAATCGAAGCATTGAATCATATAAACCTTTAGATTTGCCACTTGAGCAATTGTTGTTGATAGGGATTCGATACATGATGCTGGTGAAAGATATCGACCAATTGTGAATGCTATTGAGCTTAACACTCTTAAACTGAAAGTTTAAATTAATTTTTGGTACTGAAGTGCGCAACAACCGATAGTTTAGAAAAGCAAATGCGATTTAAATGACAATCCTTACATTTATTAATAATCTAAAATAAAATTTAGAATAAAAGATTTTATTAATTTAATTAAATTTACGAATTGAGATTCAGGCTGTTCTCTTCAATTTTTTAAAATCAATCTTTTTCCATTGTGAAGTATCATTTTTCATTCTCGTTTTATAATTTCGTCTCTATTTTTGACCAGCCAAAGTTTTATTTAAATAAAATATTAGTATCATAGCAAAGATAAAGATTGCCTTTATTTTTTGCGTTTTATCAACTTGATTATCGACCGAAATACGATCTTGTATTCATTCTGCCACTTGATAGTCCTGTAGCTGATAAAGCAATAAATGTTATTAATAATTTAAATTGTTCATTCTTATTGGCTAATCTTTCCATTGAGCTATTAATATTAACCTCAGTTCCATGCGATCTTCGCCCTTCTTAATTGTTTAATGTGCCACGCAATTTCCATCCTCGTAGTACGGTATGAATCAGTGCAATTTTTCAAGATGCAAAAACGTGAAGCGTATTGACGAAATTTTATGAAATGATTAACATTTGACCAATGAGGGTGTTGCTAAAGCAATAGTCAATGATATTGTAGCCAGTGAAGTAACGCAAGTTGGTGTGATAACAAACAGGTCCAGGAATGTGAAGCCAACATCAGCGCGTTCAATACGAGTGAGAAAAAGATTGACCTTCATTTGATGAATAAGCAAGAAAATAAAAATAAGTTAATAGAAATGATATAATCTTATAATATATTAATATTAGACTAACGTAAATGTTAGGGTTAAGTTAATATGCTCGAGACAGCGGCATTTAAAACTTAAGTGTTGCCTTATTTGTTAACTTAATCCCAACACCTACCGTGATAGACTAGACTTTTCTGTGTAATCATGAGTTACCTCTTTATTGGTAAACAGCGAGTCAGTTTTATATGTAAGCGAATAGACGGATTGATAAATCCTGGTTGAAAGGTGGTTGATATAAATCGTGTGATAGGTTACGATTATAAAATTTGCTAATTCAATAAAACTTATGAGTAGAGTTACGTACGATGGATCGACAATCGAATATACAAGTGAAAAATGACTTGAAACGATATTGATCACAAAATAAAGAGCTATAATTGGCATGAATAAACAATTAAACTTTTCTGTCGTTTCAACAGCGATGCAATACAATCGTCGAACTTTTCGAATATCATCAATAGACAAGGCATTTGTTGAGTTATTCAGTATGTTTACTTGGTGTTCAACTCGCATGAAACAGGTATGGATGTAAAGACAGGCTTCAATAAAGAAACGAAGGAAAACAAGAAAACAAAGAATACCAATAGTTGCCAAACCAATAAAAATATAAGGAAAGTAAGGCAATAATGCAAAAGAAAAGTTGTACCAAGCAACACTTACCACCAAAATGCAAGCGCAACAGTGGGTCAACGTGAATATTTGAAAGATGAAGCGATTCTTATTCAGGTAATCAACTAATGCAGGTGACAGCTCAATCTTTGTCTTGCGTTCAAAATGAATTATTAGATCACTGTATTTCTTTCTGCGAACATAAAATAGAACAAGCAAGAAAGCACAGGTCCATTGTCGAATAGAAACTAGTACCAAACGTGTAGTTTGATAAGTATCTGGAACAAAGTAGAGATCTTTGAAACATGTCGAACCATCCAAGGCAAGCCCAAATGTAATGATTAGAATAACAAATTTTCGATCAGTTAGAAGGGCCCAAGTAATTATTCCGGCTTTTGAAGCGCGATTCAATTCATTCTCATTGGATGTATTCATTTTGTTTAAACTTTCTTTTAACATTTATTGCGGTTTCACAAATTAATTTTCAACTGTTGAAACAGACAAAAGTGCCCAATCAATTATTTTGTCTTTTGCAGTGCAATCCAATCCATTTTCATTTGTCGTATACCTAAGCTGTTGTTACTGAACAATAACTCACTTCTCATTGGTTCATTTAAATGCAAACTAATCAATAGTCAAATGCGTCAGATAATAGCTGAATATAGAAAAGTTTATAGATCATGATTTTAATTGTAACGAAGTTTAAACTGGGAACGAATTGTCCAGAACCAGTAATCAATCACAATGTTTAAAAGAAATGAGTCGATTTAATTACAATACTGTTCAATCAATTTGATTATTTAAATTCGAGCAAATTTTGGATTGAATTTTCAATTTTGATTGTTTTTCGATACTTATTTGTCATATTCCAAGGTGGAGGTCATACAAGGTAGTTTCTCGGAAATCCACCAGTAACAAACCAGTTTTCGCTATCCAACGAGAATCCAAAAACAATGAGTAGAATGACAAATTTTCATTCAGACAAAATGATTGCCCAATTGATTATTTCTATTATGATTATCCCAGTTTTGTTGCGAAATTCAATCCACTTCCATTTGATGTGTGCATTTTTGTCCATATTTTGAATAAAATTTTAATTGAGTGAAGATAGTTAATTGGGTGGAGACAAAGTAATCAAATGAAACTAGATTCACGATTAAATGAGTTACGAGTCGTTGTTACTAACCGATAACTTACTTTCTATTGGTTCATTTAAATGCAGACCAATCAATAATCAGATATTATCTATACAATATATAAAGTCAAAGCATCAAATTTTTGCGTCAAGATTGTGGTCGAACTGAGCGGGTTCTAAGAAAAAAAATTACACAGCGTGAAAGCCCTAATTCAACAACAACGACGAAAAATAGGAAACCTGTCCTCAGAATCTCATGACCTCTGAGAAATTCATGAAAATAGAGACTGGGGGAAAAAATGTAGAATCCGTATTCAATAACATTGAGAGAGGGGGAAAAACTTTTTGTTATTTAGGTTGATGGTTGATTGTTGGACCAGGATTTTATGTAAAACTTTGTCATATGAGTAAAGAGGAAAGAGGGGACCGGATTGAATACAATGTTTGATTTGGTTGATTTGTTGAATGTGTTAGATTGGGTGGTGGGCAATACGGCGAAAAGGCGGTTAGCATGGGTGGTTAAAAGAAACTTGCGATCAGCCATGATCGCGCCAGTTTCTTGTTATAGATAATAGATATTATAATAGATGAGTGATGAAAAGTTTATGTGTCATGATTTTAATTGTACGTAAGTTTAAACTGAAAATGAGTTTTTAAGATTCAATAACTCAATCAATCATAAAAATGTTATTCGATGTAAATTGGCATATTAGTTATATTGAATGGATTTGGTTCCATGATCAATGAAAACACTAATCTCCCATGGAGAAAATCTATCAGAAGAAATATTCCTTGTTCGCAGATGTTTTGATCACGGAGGTCAAAATGATTAATAAACTTGCACTAGAGATGAATATTTTTTGAATAATTTATTCAGGTGTAAATGACCGAAACGCAAATCTAGAATCAGTTTATTTCTAAAAAATTTCAGTTTTCGTAAAAAAGCAAACAACCGAGAAAAGTTCTTGTAAAAAATACTATAAAAAATCTCGATCTGAAATGAAACAAATGTATTTCGCATCATATTTTGAATGCATGTTCTTGTATACATTTTTATGCTTACTTCATCTCTGGCATCAAATATCTAAGAATCGCTACAGAAAAACTCATGTTTTATTCCCCATTAATTGATTGAAATCAGTACACATTTAGAAAAAAATACAAATAAAATGTCACATTAATCTTTTGTTGAAAGTTGAGTCCAGTCTTCAACTGATGCAAAATAAAAAATAAACATTTTTGGAGACCTAAGTCAGTGTTCTCGAAAGTACAGTAGAGTACTCGATTCTTTTGTACTCGGTTCATTTGTATTTTTGTTAGATTGCCATCTATTGAAAATTAAAATTAAGAAATTTACAATTCTTTGGCCAATTAGAATGGCTCTTGGATTGAAAAGTTAAAGGGAAAGACAATCAGAGGGGGAAGCAAATTTGACCAAGAAAATTTAATTCATTTTATTGGTGTCTCTTTTGCGATCTGATAGATGGAGTAAGCCCAAAAATACAAAAGACCCGAGTACTCTACTGTATGTGCCGAGTAATTTCGAATAACATAAAAAATTCATCTGCATCTAAATGTTTATTGTTCACTACAAACGTTTTAAGTGATGTGCATACATTGATAGAGGTGGAACATTGAAATGAAACATCAGAGAATAACATTACTTTATTAGTGTTGGTGTTGCTAATGCAAGAGTCAAAGAGATTGTGGCCAGTGAAGTAACGCAAGTTGGTGTGATAACAAACAGGTCCAGAAAAGTGAAGCCAACATCAGCGCGTTCAATACGAGTAAGGAAAAGTTGAACCTGAAAAGATAAAAAATTGAGATGAGCGTTAATCAAAAATTAGCATAACATTATGATGATAGAACGTTCAATATTAGATTTTTTATACAATAATGAGTTACCTCTTTTTTAGCAAACAATGAATCAGTTTTATATGTAAGTGAATAAGCTGATTGATAGATTCTGGTTGAGAGGTGATTGATATAGATCATGTTATAAGCAACAAGAATAAAGATCGAAAATTCAGCAACGCAGATCATTATAAAAGTAAGGGATGCCGCAGCAATCGCATTAGCAAAAGCGAAATGACTTTTACCAATACAAACCACAAAATAGCAGGAAATCACTGGCCACAACAGAGAGTTGAACTTTTCTGTCGTTTAAACAGCAAAGCAATACAATCGACGAACCTTCCGAATGTCATCAATAGACAATAAATTGGACGATTTGTTCAATATGTCTATTTGGTGTTCAACTCGCATGAAACAGGTATGAATGTAGAGACAGGCTTCAACAAAGAATCCGATCAAAGCAAAACTACAACAACAACCAATCTCCATCACACCAAATTTTAGGGCATCATAGACGCTTATATTGGATTTTATAAGTTGATCGATGAATGGGGCAATCAGCAGACAAATATTGACCAAGAAATTGATAAGCATAAATAAATGAAAGATGTAGCGATTCCTTCTCATAAAAGCATCTACGGATGAATGATTCGACGGCAATTTCGTACAAGATTCAAAACGCGTGACAATATCAATGTATTTATCTCTTCGAAAGCAAAGCGAGAACACGAATACAGAATAAATAGCTTGTTGTGTGCCGTATATTATCAATGAAACAGTCATAAAGTTGCTTGTATTATAAAGTAAATAATTAAAGAACCAGTTTGCGCTATCCAATGCGAGTCCAAAAGAAATGAGTAGAATAACAATTTTTCGATCAGACAAAAGCGCTCGAGTGATTATTCCATGTTTTGAAGTGCGATTCCATCCATTTCCATTCGATGTATTCATTTCGGTAAAGTTTTGTGTAATATTGTAATTGAGTGAAGATATTTACTTTAATGTAGTTTAACTAGTCTTTCCGAGACAAATTAATGAAATAAACTCATATTTTTGATGAAATAAATTATGTCCTGTTGTTACTTACCAACGAACTTACTTCTCATTGGTTCATTTTGATCGAGACCAATCAATAATTAAACGCGTCAGATACTAGATGCATATAGAGAAAATTCATTTTAATTTTTGAAAAAAGTTCGAACGAAAAATGAATTATTCACAATTAGCATCTCAATCGATCAAAAAAGTTATTTAATATGAATTGATATAATAGTTAATATTGAATAGACTTTATTACAAGAATGATCAATTTATTTTAAATGTTTTCAATTCAATCAACTTATCCGGAATCGATATAAAGGCTTGTCTGTGTCGAAAACCAACTCAGATCAAATTGAAAATCAAACTATAATATTCAATAATCAGCCTCCAAGAACATCCCAACTGTTCCATTCATATGTTGGGCGTTTTGCTTCATTTCTTGACTTGCTTGGTTTGGATTCGCCTGCATTTTTGAATTTTTCCGCCAATTCTTTACATTTTGTTTTTCTTTTCTCTGTTGAGCTTTTTGAGAAGCTTCAGATGAAGTTGTTGATTTATTCATTCAAGGTTGAGAAAAAAATACGGAAAACAAAGAAAATATTATTTAATCAAACTTGAATTCATTATACCGGGCGTCTTTTAATTTTACGTCCTTCTGCAGGCATAACTCACAAATGAATTACTCAGACTTGAACCATGAGCTTATGCAGATTTAAGAATCATAAGTTCGAAAGCACAAGGTCATTGAAGGTCAATCCGTTATTTGATCTCTAATTTTCCTTCAGGAGTTTATTCTCTGAGAGTGAAAAGTTTAAGCGTAAAAACGCATATCGATAGTCACCCTTTGAAAGCATTATGTAAAAGAACTTGATTTAATCAATTAGATTCAAAATAAAAAATAAGAATTGACTGATTTTATGTGAAGAATAAGATAGCTTTTGAATGCGTTTATACTTTATTTGATCTTGTAAAATACAATGCATACTATTGTGCTCAATACGATTCAAAAACACCATTAATTTTACAAACATTTGAATGCGATCTGAGCGCAGAAAAAAATGCTGCACTGACTTATTTGAGCAACGCTGGTGTTGCCAGAGCAATAGTCAATGATATTGTAGCCAGTGAAGTAACGCAAGTTGGTGTGATAACAAACAAGTCCAGGAAAGTAAAGCCAACATCAGCGCGTTCAATACGAAGGAGGAAAAGATGAACCTGATTTTGATTGATTAATAGAGAGAAATATTATAAAATGGAAAAGTAAGTTGCGTGAAATTATTGAATTTTATAATTACCTCTTTATTGGCAAACAATGAATCAGTTTTATATGTAAGTGAATAAACTGATTGATAGATTCTGGTTGCAAGGTGATTGATATAAATCATGTGATAGGTTACAAGGAAATAATAAGAAAATTCCACCATACATATTGAAATGATTATAGGAGATGGATTATGAATCACCCGAACAAGCGAGAAATGACTTTTAATGGTACTGAACACGAAATAAATAGCTGTAATAAGCATGAATAGAGAGTTAAGTTTTTCTGTCGTTTCAACAGCAAAGCAATACAAGCGACGAACTTTCCGAATGTCACCAATAGACAAGGCACTTGTCGAGTTGTTCAATGTGTTTATTGAGTGTTCAACTCGCATGAAACAGGTATGAATGTAAAGACAGGCTTCAATAAAGAAACGGAAAAAAGCAAGAGAACCAAAGAAACCAATAGCTGTTGAACCAAAAAAGAGTATAACATTGACATTGACTCGCGATTCTTGCAGCCTTTTAATGAATAAATAAGATCCCATTACGACGAAGTTGCCAATATATAAGAACCAATAGACTTTAAAGATGAAGCGATTCTTGGTTAGGTAACGATCTGTTGTGTGTGTTGGTTGAAGCTTTGTTTTACGTTCGAACTGCGTGAGCTGATCGTAATAATCGTTTCTCAAAACACAAAGTAAGACAATGAAGACGGAATATATACATTTCTGAATGCCAAATAATACTGGGCTTAGAGCATCGAATTTGCCCGGTAAAGACGCAAAGTATCTAATCCATGATAAGCCATCCACTGCGAGTCCAAAGGCGATGAGTAGAATAACATTTTTTCGATCAGTCAAAAGGGCCCAAGTAATTATCCCAGCTTTTGAAGCGCGATTCATTCCATTTTCATTTGATGTATTCATTTCGGTAAAATTTCATCTAATATTTTTTGCAATTAGGTGAAGTAACTATAACTAGTCGATCTCAAACCAACGATGGAATAAAATTAAGATTTTGAATGAAATGAACTGTTGTTACTAACCAGTAACTCAATTCTCATTGGCTAATTATATTGTTGACCGATCGATAATCAAATGCGTCAAACATTGGGTGAATTTAGAAAAGTTTATATATCATGACATTTGAATCGGAATAAAAGTTTTAACTGAATTGAATTGTTAGGAATCAGTAAATTAATCACAATGTTCAAGAAAAACATGAATAGATTTAATTACAATAACGATCAATCAATTCGACATATTTTGATTTCAACAAATTTCATCAGTAATTTTGTTTTGTGAATTTTAAATTGATTGCCTTTTTGGCAGCAATAACAATTTTAACAGAAGAGTTGCAACCGATCGTTGAAATTTAATGAATCGATGAAGCTAGTGATGAGACTAAAGTCTTTGTATTCATATTTCATTGAATTCACAAAATGGACAACTGTTGTTCATTGATCTTATCAACCAGTAGTTTATACGAGATATTTGTTTCAATTCAACAACAAATATCGGCGTTTAAGTTTCTGATTTTTTCAGAGGGCACAAAATATTCTAACGGGTCATGTACATGTATTGTCAGTTTGAAAGTTACAGGGTGTTAAAGTATCTGTGAGGCTGACTAGAGCTAATAATAGATAATTTTAGATGATACAGTAAGAGAAAAAAGAAAAAAATTTTAGCTTAGGAAAGCTGGTCAGAGTTAAATTGGTTTAGCAAAATAATTTAATTTCAATATTCAAATATTTCGATGGGAATACAGAATTTACAGATTTGGTAATGAAGGCAGAGAAAAGTATGGCTGGAATTAGGGAAGTAGAGAAATTAATTAATTACTACTCGGACTAATAGAAGACAGGTTAGCGCTGGATAACAACAAGGTTTAGATGAACCAGAGTAATTCAAAACTTTCGCAACTTCTAGGATGTGCATTAAATTCAAAGAGGTGCAACATTGAAGTGATACATAAGAGTATTGACTTCTAGCATCATTTGATTAAAGTGGGTTCTGCTAATGCAAGAGTCAAAGAGATTGTGGCCAATGTAGTTACGCAAGTTGGTGTGATAACAAACAGGTCCAGAAATGTAAAGCCAACATCAGCGCGTTCAATACGAGTGAGGAAAAGTTGAACCTGGAAAGATAAGAAAATTGAGATGAGCGTTGGTCAAAAACTTGCATAATATTGTGATAATAGAACGTTCAATATTACTAGATTTTATATTAGATTATATTAGATAGTAGATTTTTTATAAAATAATGAGTTACCTCTTTTTTAGTAAACAATGAATCAGCTTTATAAGTGAGTGAATAAACTGATTGATAGATTCTGGTTGAAAGGTGATTGATATAAATCATGTTATAAGCTATTAAAAAGAAGATTGAAAATTCTCCAAAACAAACCAAAGTTAGCACCAAAGATGGATCGGTGATCGCTCTGGCAAAAGCGAAATGGCTATTAACGATAGCGACAACAAAATAAGTAGAAATTACAGGCCACAACAGAGAATTGAACTTTTCTGATATCTGTTGCTATTTGACTCGAGACCAACTGATGAAATGAAATAAAAGATTGACGATTAAATGAATTATGAGCTGTTGTTACTAACCAATAACTTGATTCTCATTGGCTAATTATATTGTTGACCAATCGATAATCAAATGCGTCAAACATTGGGTGAATTTAGAAAAGTTTATATATCATGACATTTAAATCGGAATAAAAAGTTTAAACTGAAATGAATTGTTAATAATAAGTAACTCAATCAATCACAATTTTCAAGAAATACATAAATGGATATAATTTCAATAATACATCAATTCGACAGATTTTTTAATAGCGATTTTTTTCTCAATTCATTTGAATTTTCAATCGTTTGTTCAGCTACAATAACAATTTGATCAATAGGGTTGAAGCTGAAGGTGAAATCTAATGAATCGAAATCAATAATAGGACAGGAATCATTTTTGTTCATCATTAATGGATAGAATTACCCAAAAAAAGTTAATAAATTCAACAAACTACCGATAGAAATCAATGTTCAACGATAACCTTAAGATAACTTGATTAACACCCTGTAAAATGTGCATTATGTTTTATCACTACATTGGAGATATTCATGGATAAGAAGCGAGTCCCCTTGAGGCCGAGAGTCTTATCAAATGGCCTTCATTCTTTGACTCGACTGTGATCTTATTTTTAGTGCAAATGCTTTCCTAGTTTCCTGTTTATCATGTAGAGATCCTAAACGAACCTGATATTCAGCGTTTGAAAGAATGAAAAGATCTTATGAAATGTTCTTAATTCTAATCTGCGTTTCCTTGAAAATACAGTCTCTTTATTGCACCATGAAAGTCATAGTTCTTATAATTAACTTTTATCAACATTTGGAATTTTCACATATAATTCAATCATTTTTTTGATAAGTCAAAATGATGTCAATTCAATGTGTAAAAAGCTCAAAAGGGCAATAAAATGCATAAAAGTTATACACATTTATACATGTATATTCAATCACAATAACATTGCATTGCGTGATTTTTGTGTTTGAAACTCGAGGTAGTACAGAGTTTGATTAGTAATATTGGTGATCAAAATAAAGTTGATGGTAAAGATATGAGATGTTAGTTCGTTTTAAACCATTACTTTAATGATAACTTAAATTATAAAACAGTTCGTTTTTATACTCTTTTAAGAATAAACATTGTTTCGATTACAGACACATCTGTGTAATTATTGATTGATACAGTTTAACAATATTCGAGACACAACTATGTCAATAACATGAAAAGGTTATAACAAAATAACAAAAACAATAAAACTATTATTATTTATTTTAGGTGCAGATGCGTTTTCTTTTTGCATTGGTAATAAACATCATTAAACTTTATTGTTAAAAAAGTGTTAGTACCGACAGTGCAAAAGACAGAGTGAGTGAAGCTAATGATGTGACAAAAGTCGATGTTATTAGAGAAATTTTGAGAAATGAAAAGCCAACATTCGATTGTCCGATTCGATCAAGAAACAGTTGAATCTACAACAGAAAAAAAGACAGGTAAAATTGTAATGCATTGACCTAAACAACTTACTTCATTTTTGACTTGAAATGAATGCTTTCCAAATGAAAGTGAATAGACATCATTGAAACATTTATTTGAAAGATAATGAATGTATATCATGTTGTAAGCGATCAGTGCTATGTTCAAGAAGCGAAATACTAGAATAATAAAGCCAGCTATCGATGGTTTGTAAAAAAATGAAGATAAATATGACCTGAGATGATAGCATATGAATAGAAAATGCAAATCGGTAATCTTAGGAATGAATCCATCTTTTCTGTAATTTCGAAAGCAATGCTGTACATTGAACGAATTGAACGAATTTTATTGCTACTCAACACTCGACAGTCAATGTTTCTAAGTGAACAAATTTGCGTATTTACAGCAAGCCAGCACCCATGAATGTAGAGACTTGATTCAACAATAAATTGGTTGAATAATTGAAAGCCAAGACCGCAAAGTAAAAGCATGAGATTAGAAAATAGATCTTTAAATGATTGGACAAAATCATAAGATTGTTGAAAGATTATAATAAAGCTACGAAAAGCGAAAAATGCAGCTACAGCATTAATCGTCACGATGTAAAATAGAAAAATATTTCGCACTTTAGCGAAATGACGATGAACTAGCAAACTTTCCAGGCTAAGTCCACTTCGATTTACAAATAAATTGACCAAATCAATATATTCACATCGTTTTGAACGCAACAGTACAAGCCAGAGCAGCTGTGAAGTGTAGGTTATACAATTGATGATTATTATATACTTTTTGAAAGTATTGCTTGCTTGGTATGGCAGTAAAAGGGCCAAAATATTATAAATAACAAGACAAATGAGAAGAAAATGAATAAAATTACTTTTTCTCCCTGCAAATCGAAGCATTGAATCATATAAACCCTTAGGTTTGCAACTCGAACAATTGTTGTTGATGGGGATTCGATACATGATGATGGTCAAAGTTTATTTCGACTAATTGTAAAATGCAATTTAGCTCAAAACACAGAAAGTGGAAATCTATGCAAGCTAATGATATCAAAGTGCGCAGCTACTAACAGTTAATAGTTTCAGTTTTTCGAAATTCGAATGAAATCTTGCGATTCAAATGACAAACCCTACATTGATTAATACAAAATTTTGAAGAATAGAATTATCGACTAAACAAGATTTAAATGTAGATTCACACTGTTTTAGTCAATTTATGTCATCAATCTCCTTCATCCTAAAATATTGTGCATCGTTTCTAGTAATTATTAATATTATAACAAATGACCGAAGATATAGATCAAGTTGCTGTGATTTGTTTTTTATTTGGTGCGAGAAATTTGAATAGATTCATTCTCAATTTGAAATCTACAGTTTATTCGTCATTTCACCAAAACATGCAATATTTTGCTACTTTACATCGTGGCCATTAATATCATAACTATGTTTTCCACTTTCCGGAACTCTATTATGATCTTTCAATAATGGAACGATTTTGTCCAATTATTAATGAGCATTTAATTTAAGCATTTAATTTGCATTACCAAACATACTTTTCAACAATGAATAATTTCTATCGATTTATCATAAATTTCCCGAATCAAATCATATCAGTTAAGTCCCTTCCCTTGTCAGAAACGTAGTGACACAAATTATTGCTGCATTCCGAATTTAGTATTCTTTAGTAAATCAATCAATATGTGTATCAAAAAAAAATTAAAATTTAATTCCAATATTTACAATATGTGTATCAGAAACATTTACATATTAAAAAACATTCAGTGCTGTGTACATTCATAGAGGTGAGACATAAGAGGATAACATTAAGTGATTAAAGTGGGTCCTGCTAATGCGAGAGTCAAAAAGATTGTAACCAATGAAGTAACGCAAGTTGGTGTGATAACAAAGAGGTCCAGGAAAGTAAAGCCAACGTCACCGCGTTCAATACGAGTGAGGAAAAGATGAACCTGAAAAGATGAGAAAATTGAAAATGATGAGCGTTAATCAAAACTTGTATGCTTTATAATTTTAAATTAGGCTTTTCATGAAATAGTGAGTTACCTCTTTTTTAGCGAACAATGAATCAGTTTTATATGAAAGTGAATAAACTGATTGATAGATTCTGGTTGAAAGGTGGTTGATATAAATCATGTTATAGGCGACAAGAATAAAGACTGAGAATTCTGCAATAAAGATCAATGCAACATAAAAAGATGACTTGGTAATCGCAGCAGCTAACGCCCAGTGACTTTTAACGATACAGACCACAAAATAAGTGGAAATTACAGGCCACAACAGAGAGTTGAACTTTTCTGTCGTTTCAACCGCAAAGCAATACAAGCGACGAACTTTCCGAATGTGTTCAATAGACAAGCCATTTGTTGATTTGTTCAATGTGTCTATTTGGTGTTCAACTCGCATGAAACAGGTATGAATGTAAAGACAGGTTTCAACAAAGAAACGAAATAAAGCAAAACTACAACAGAAACCAATCTCAACCGAGCCGAATTTCAGGATGTCAATGGTTCTTATATTACATTTTTCAAGCTTGTCGATGAAAGGAGCGATTACCAGTAGAATATTCACTACGCAATTGATGAATGTAAATGAATGAAAGATGTAACGATTCCTTTTCATGTAAGCATCTAAAGATTGTTGATTTGACTGGACTTTTGCGTTGCAATCGAAATGCATTATATGATCAATGTACTTATCTCTTTGAAAGCAAAGTTGAAACATGAATAAAGCAAAAATAGCTTGCTGTATACCGAATATCACCCAACTTCCGAAAAAAAATTTGCTTGTAGCAAGCGAAGCATTAACGAACCAGTTGCCAGAATCCATTGCGAGTCCAAAGCCAATGAGTACAATAACAATTTTCCAATTAGAAAAAAGCGCTTGAATGATTAATCCAGCACTTGAAGCGCGATTCATTCCATTTCCATTTGATGCATTCATTTTGATCGATATTTTAAATAAAACTTAAATTGAGTGAAGATGTGAACTATAACTAGTCGGGTCGAGACAAACTGATGAACTGCAATCAGATTTTCCCTGAAATAAAATATGTTCTGTTGTTACTAACCAATGACGCATTATTATTTATTAAAACTTCTCATTGGTTCATTTTAAATGATCAATAATCAAATGCGTCTCACTCTACAAGGCATTTCAGATGTTTTTACACGATTTATTTAATTTTTTTGACTTAATATTCTTTTATGAATGGTTTTTGTTTGCTCAATATGTTTTCCCTGATTCTTAACGATTTGTTTGAGTCGTCTATTCCAAGAATCGAACACGCGTAAGATCATTTCTGCATCGATCTTTGACCAAACATCATTTGCTGCTCGACATAAACCATTCAAAGTTGTCACCTTTCTTCGCCGAAGCAGTTGTTTGAGGTAACCAAAGCCGAAAAAATCCAATGGACTGTAGATGAACATGGAAAATGTATCATGATTTAAATTTTGATAAAAAGTTTGCTCTAAAAATGAATTTGTCAGAACTAATATTTCAATCAATCAAAAAAAATTCGATATTAATTGATATAATAGGTAATATTTTATTGCAACTATCAAACTTTGAATCTTTTTTATTAAATCAATTGTCCGCAATCGTTATAAAGGCGTGTCATCAGGTAACCAACCCTCGTCAAATTGGATATAAATTTAATTTAATGATAGGCGTCAGCAAACACCACAACATCGCTTATAGTTCGAACGTTTAATTAAAAACTGCAACAATATTGTGCCAAGATAGAGGCTGCATGTTCTTAAACAGACTCAAAGTTTCTTTTGATTCTGTTGGAAAGGCACAGGATTGAATAATGTTATCATGAAAGGTGTTCATCAAAATAGCAAGAATCTTGTTCTAATGAGGTTGAGCTCGCGTTGAACCAGCCTTTTTGCGTCAATATTTTCCCCTTTGCACTGATCATCGGCACAAACTCAGCCTTGTTGATAATTCAAATGATTTCAGAAAATATGCGAAATACAAAGTAGAATGAGAATCAAAGTCGAATAGAACAATCATTGACACGTATTGAAGCTCAATGAATGATCAAAGTTGATTGATTACTTTTTCATATTCCAATAATTCGTTTCTTTGTTGTGACAATACAAAAGATATGGCTTTGTCCATTTGGTACAAATTAACATGATGGAAAATTGATTGGTTTGCAATTATTAATACATAAACAAAACCAGTTTAAACTAAACTTTAGGTGTTTTGATCAAACTGAAATCGATAGTTTTATTATGTTCTAATAAACATGTAAATTCGATTTCAAATGGATCTGTTTATCAATGCAATACAATTTACAACAAATGCTGAAACAAGCTTGACTTTTCTTGCAGTAATTAATCGAGCAAATTTTTTAGAAACTTGAGCATCAATGGTGCGTTTTTGAGCAATAGGTGCTAAAATCCGTGGATTATCAGCCTAAAATCATCCTCAAGACATTTAAGGGACTCTAATTAATGGTAATATAAATTCGGATGTAGCATGTATTGTTTCTGGAAAACTTTTAACCCATGTTTTACTAATTTTTAGAGTCCTGTTTATTCTTGTTTTCCTTTTCTGATTAATCTGCCATTTGGGTTTGTCCAACAGAAAACGGAATTCCCTTCGTTCTAGAAAGCTACAGCTAAGTAGCTGAAAGTATTCTGTGCAGTCAGACAAGTTCATGTACTTACGCGTGTCCTTGTACGATTTTTTTCATTTTTTCGGGTTTATATTGTATTATTTTTAGCGCGTCACTCTTCCTAGTTTCCTGTTTATTATGTGGAGATCCTAAACGAACCTTATATTCAGGATTAGACAGACTGAATCAACCTTCTGGACTTTTTTTATTCTGATTTGAATTTATTAGAATTATAATCTTTTTCTTTCACAAGTCAAGTCAAAAGTCCGATAATTAACTCGTATCAATTAATTTATTTGGGATTCCCATATAATACAATAATTTATTTGAAGTGCGTGGATTTTTCTTGAAAGTTGAGGTACAAATTATGATAGGTAATTGAATATTAGTAATGATTTATCAAACTTAACTAAAAAATGTTGGTACAGAGAGTGCAAAAGACAGAGTTAATGAAGCTAATGATGTGACGAAAGTCGATGTTATCAGAGAAATTTTAAGAAACGAAAAGCCGACATTCGATTGTCCGATCCGATCAAGAAACATTTGAATCTGAAACAGAAAAAAAAGAAAGGTAAGATTCGAACGCATTGATTCAAACAACTTACTTCATTGTTGACTTGAAATGGATGCTTCTCATATGAAAGTACATAGATATCATGGAAACATTTATTTGAAAGATAATGAATGTATATCATGTTGTAAGCGATCAGTGCTATTATCAGAAAGCGAAATACTAGAATAATAAAGCTTACTATCGATGGGTTGTAAATAATTTCAGCAAGATAAATATGACCTGAGATGATAGCATATGAATAGAAATTTAAAATCGGTAATCTCAGGAATGAATCCATCCTTTCTGTCGTTTCAGAAGCAATACTGTACATCGAACGAATTTCACGAACTTTATCGCTAGTTAACATTCGCCAGTCAATGTTTCTAAGTGAAACAATTTGTTCATTTACAATGAGCCAGCATCCATGAATGTAGAGACTTGATTCGACAAGAAATTGGTTGAATAATTGAAAGCCAAGAACGGGAAGCAAAAGCATGAGATTAAAAAGTGAAGCCTTCAATGATTGGACAAAATCATCCGATTGTTGAAAGATTATAATACAGCTACGGAAATTGAAAAATGCAACTATAGCATTAATCGTCACGATGTAAAATAGAAAACTGTTTCGTATTTTGGCGAAATGACGATAAACTAGCGGATTTTCAAGGCTAAGTCCACTTTGTCTTTCAAATAGATTGACCAATTCAATATATTCACATCGCTTTGAACGCAAAAGTATAAGCCAGATCAGCTGTGAAGTACAGGTTACACAATTGATAAGTATTATATACTTTTTGAATGTAGTGCTTGTTTCATATGGCAATAAAAGGGCCACGATATTATAAATAATAACACAAATGAGTAGAAAATGAACAAAATTACTTTTTTTCCCTTCAAATCGCAACATGGAATCATATAAACCTTTAGGTTTGCAACTTGAAGATTCGTTGTTATTAATAGGGATTCGATACATAATGCTGGTGAAAGTTTACAGCGACTAATTGTAAAATGCAATTGAGCTCGAAACACAGAAAGTGAACATTTATACAAATTAATGATATCAAAGTGCGCAGATACTGATAGTTTCAGAGTGTCGAATGAAATCTTGCGACTCAAATGATCAATCCATTTCCATTTGATGTGGGCATTTCGGTCAATATTTTGAATAAAATTTCAGTTGAGTGGAGACACTATTAACTAGTCGAATCAAGACAAACTGATGAACTGCAATAAGATCTTCAATTGAATGAATTATTAACCGTTGTTGCTAACGAGTAACTTAGTTCTCATCGGTTCATTTTAATACAAATAATCAATAAGCAAATGCGCCAGATTCTAGATGAACATGGAAAAGTTTATGCATCATGATTTGAATTGTAATAAAAGATTGCTCTGGAAATGTATTGTTAGAACTATTATCTTATCAATCAAAAATATTGATATTAATTAATATAATAAAACATATTGAATGGTTTTTATTACAATGATCAATCTTTGAATTTTTTTATTAAATCAATTATCCGCAATCGATATAAAGGTGTGTATGCCAAGAAAAACCAACCCTCATCAAATTGAAATAACCTTAACTTTGCGACGGCGACATCAAAAACCATATAAGACCGTAGCGAAATTTTTTTGTGGTGCCGCGTTTGGCCACAAAATTACAGTCAAATTTGAATCTCGTCAGTTTTGCAGGGCGATTGGATTCGAATTTATCCAATAAATTAGAAAAAAAACTTTTGGCAAGAGTTTCTTTCCGGACTCAAGCAAGAACTCAGATTATTCAGTAGAGAAGGAATATTTTCATGCATCAAATGGAAAATATAAATTTTAAGACTTGTACTAATTTAATTTCTTTAGAAAAAATCAGATTAAATAATTCAATGATATTGCAATTAAGCTTCAAAGTTGCGGACGCTATTAACAGGTCACCCTTTAAATACATGCAGCTGGACATAAAAATTTTATGGAAAAGTTTATGTATCATGATTCAAATTTTAATAAAAAGTTGCTTAGAATGAATTCGTCAGAACTAATATCTCAATCAATCAAAAAAATCCCGTAAATATAGTCTCGAAATCTATTAATCTATGAAAAATTCTGTCTGTGTTAGTTCAAGAAAATTAATTTTATCGAGTGAATTTTATTGTATGAAAATGATAGATTTAAAATTGGCGAAACTAATGAGGAATTGATTCGGTGTAGTGCAAGTTTGTAAGCCCCTGTTTCGAGCTTATAATACATCATGAAATAAACATAAAATTGAATAAACAATAGAATCAAGTATTATTTGGTTCGAATTTTATTGACCGAGTCTGAAACTTGGAGCAGCTAAAGCAATAGACAGCAAAACGGTGGCGAATGAAGCTACGAAACTAGGTGTAATAATGCAAAGCTTGGCAAATGTAAGGCCGACATCAAAATGGCCAATTCTTTGAAGAAATAGATTAATCTGGATTTTATGTAAAAGAAAAGATTCACAGAGAAAATTATCAGAATACATTCATGCAAAAGGGTGACGATTTTTGCTATGCAATTCAAAGCAACTGTTCGTTGACTGCATCGTTGTTCAAAAGTTTAATTTCAACTTACCTCGGCATTTATTTCGGTTGAAAAGAGTAGAAATGAAAGTGAATAGATTTGTTCGAAAAAATAAATTACAAGGTAATTAATTGTGACAGTGTGATATGTTACGAAAAGTAAATAACTAAATGTACCAATGAAACAAAGAAGATTCATGGTGGACAATTTATTATTGATGAATAAGTTTGTGAAGTGTAAATGGCAGTTGAACAAAACGGAAAGGTAAAAGCCGAACAACGAATAGACTAGAAAGGAGTCGAGTCGACGAGTAATTCGGATGATTGAAGAGTAAGTTGATCGGATCACCCTGACCTTCTCAATGGTAAGGTTATCTGATTGAATCGATGAGACAGTTTGGTTGATGAAAACCAGAGATGATTTGAGATGAATACACGATTCGATAATGAACTGGAGTACCATTATCCAGTTACATGCAGCAGTCAAATTAAAATAGTAAGATGAAACAATGATTAACATTGAACTGTTTTTCATAGTTTCTTTTGTTGATTGTGCTGAAGAGTAAATTGTCAAGGCAAGTTCAAAGACAAGACTACAAGTGATGAACAATTTAGCAGCACCATGTTGCCTAGTTACATAGTCTTTAGTTGATGGGCATTCTGTTGACACAAGAGATGCAATACTGTAGACGAAGCGCTTATAGTTTGACCTTTGGACTAGAAACTGCAGCAATGTTGTGCCAAGGTAGATGCTGTAAATTCTTAACCAAGCGTGGTTGAACAAACTCAAAGTTTCATCAGACTCTGTTGGACTATTTGTATTGTTCAAATCAAAAATGCCACCAATTATGGATGTTATACCACAAAAAGCGACGATCGGGACACCAATTTTTTTATTCAAATTCAACAACAATGAGAATAAAAGTCCAGAAGAATTAGAAATTTTACTAATATCAACACTTATTTCACTTATTTGGTTCATTTTGCAAAAATCTCATTCAACGATCAAATCTGTTGCAAACTTTTATCCTCCATTTTAAAATGAAATTACGCTCACTAAATACATCAAAGGAAACTGGAAGTGGCAAGAACAGAACCAAATGTTGACGAGAATTGATGAAAGTCGAATGATTTTTTTCTTTGATCGATTAGACAAGTTCAGGATTGAATAAAGTTGTATCATAATGTGACTATCAAAATATCAAGAATCTTTTTCTAATGAGATTGAACTCGCGTTGAAACAGCCTTTTTGCGGCATCATTTGCCCCTTTGCTCTAAGCACAGGCTCAGTCTTGGGACCAATTCAGAACATTCAAGTAAAGATGAGAAACACAAAGTAAAATGAGAATCGAATTTATCGGATAGAAAAATTGAAAACCCATATTGAATGATCCAATTTGATTGATTACTTGTTTAATGTTCCAATAATTTGTTTCTTTATTGTGACAATATAAAAGATATACATTCGAGCATTTGATACAAATGAACATAATGTAAATCCAAAGTTTAAATTTAATTTTTAGTGTATTGAATAAACTTAAATCGATAGTTTTATATGTTCTAATAAACATGTAAACTTGAAAATCAATTTCAAATAGATTTGTAGCTCAATTCAATTTAGTTTGCCACAAATGCTGAAACAAGATTAAAGCAGTCGGCAAGCATTGGTTTCCAAGAATATTTTGTAATAGCACGCTGACAATCTATAATATATTCAATATTAATCGTTAAAATAGATACGAAAGAGCGAAATCCAAACATTTTAAAATATTGATGAATTTATAAAACTTTATTGTTAAAAAAGTGTTATGCTCTATTAGAAAATCAATATGAAAGAAAATTCGAGATCGGTCAATTTTCTGTCATATACCCCAGTTGTACTTGTATGGTTTGAAATCCCACAAAGCTTATAACGCGATTTGCATTATCGAAAAGTTCTTCAATGATGATACTGACCAAAGTATCGTGAGTAAATTACTAATATTTCAATGATTAACTGAGAGTCTAGTGGTTGTAGAGTAGATTAAAGGTTAAAGGAGTAGAAAGGATTAAAAATTGAGATTTAATTCTAACTCATATTATGTCATTTACAAACACTTTAAATAAAAGCTTCTCAAAATAACAAATTCAAATTCGAGGACAATTCTTATTGGAACATTTTTCATTTTCTTTCCTGCTAAAATTATGGCAAAAGTTAGTATCTTGATTGACCGATGTGAGTTGAGAAATGATGGCTAAATGTCTTGTATCAAAATATCGATAATAAACTCGATAATATCATTTATTTGCAATTCAGTTACAAGCTAAATTTATCGAAAATTACGAACATTACATTCATAGAACTGCGACATTGAAATGAGACATAACTTCTAGCATCATTTGATTAAAGTGGGTTCTGCCAATCCAAGAGTCAAAGAGATAGTGGCCAGTGAAGTAACGCAAGTTGGTGTGATGACAAACAGGTCCAGAAATGTAAAGCCAACATCAGCACGTTCAATACGAGTGAGGAAAAGTTGGACCTAAAAGATAAGAAAATTGAAATTGATGAGCATTAATCGAAAACTTTTACATTAATAATTTAATATTTTGGATTAGACTTTTCATCAAAAATTGAGTTACCTCTTTTTTAGCAAACAATGAATCTGTTTTATATGTAAGTGAATAAACTGATTGATAGATTCTGGTTGCGAGATGATTGATATAAATCATGTTATAAGCTATTAAAAAGAAGACTGAGAATTCTCCAAAACAAATCATAGTAAGAGCAAAAGATGGCTCGGTGATCGCTCTGGCAAAAGCGAAATGGCTATTAACGATAGAGACAACAAAATAAGTAGAAATTACAGGCCACAACAGAGAGTTGAACTTTTCTGTCGTTTCAACTGCAAAGCAATACAAGCGACGAACCTTCCGAATGTCATCGATAGACAAGGCATTTGATGAGTTGTTCAATGTGTCTATTTGGTTTTCGACTCGAATAAAACAGGTATGAATGTAAAGACAGGCTTCAACAAAGAAACGTAATAGAGCAAAGAGAGAACAGAAACCAATATGCCATGATCCGAATATAAGGACGTCAAGTGTGCTAATATTTGATTCTATAAGCTTAACAATTAAAGGAACAATTGCCAGTGAAAATAAGATTAAGAAATTGACGAACGTAAATAAATGAAAGATGTAACGATTTCTTTTAATATAAGCCTCTAAAGATGGATGATTCAAGTGTATTTTCGCGTTGCTTTCGAAATGCATGACCAGATCAGTGTAACCATCTCTTCGAAAGCAAATAGAAAACATGAAAAAAGCATAAATAATTTTCTCGATGCCAAATATTAGTGCAGATCCAGAAAAAAACTTGTTTGTAGAATGCGAAAAAGCAATAAACCAGTTGAAGGTTTCCAATCCGAGTCCAAAAGCAATGAGTAGGATAACAATTTTTCGAGCAGACAAAAGCGCCCAAGTAATTATTCCAGCTTTTGAAGCGTGATTCAATCCATTTCCATTCGATGTATTCATTTTGGTGAAATTTTAGTTAATATTCCCTTCGATTGAGTTAAGATATCTGTAACTATTTGACTCGAGACCAACTGATGAAATGAAACTTAAGATTCACGATTGAATGAATTATGAGCTGTTGTTGCTAACCAATAACTTAATTCTCATTGGCTAATTACAGTGTAGACCGATCGATAATCAAATGAGTCAAATATTGGTTGAATGTAAAAAGTTTTAAATCATGACATTTGAATCGTAATAAAAAGTTTTACCTAAATTGAATTGTT